TGCATGCCAAGTGTCATACCAAGCACTGATAGTGTCTCGTTCCACTCACTATCGGATTAAAGGCCTCATCTGCAACCAATGTCTTTGCCAATCTGCTCATCGCTTTCCTCCTTTTATGTCGGTAAGTTGGCTAGCCCAATTCCCGTATTTGACTAGTACAAAGGTCCTTAAGGGTGATCTTGTCATCCTCATCCACCATACGAGTTTCTTTTGAAGCATATCAAGGATATCTTCAGGGTGTCTAATCCCTAGGCCACCCTCGTCCATCGGTCGACATGCTTTTTTCCAATAAACTCGGCGTTGACGATGAGGCCCGTCGAGTTGTCCATCCCATAAGGAGGTACAAATCTACCTCACAGTTCGTAAGACAGTGTCTAGTACCCCATGTACAGCAAGTAGGTGCAAGGGCATACTCATGAGGACATAGCATATCAATTGGATGCGTCCGCTTGAAGATAGAAGCTGAAGCTTCCACCCGTCAAGTTTCTTCCTCAACTTGCACAAAAGGGAATCAAAGTAATGAACCCTAGTGCATCTGAGGAAGATGGGGCATCCAAGGTAGTCAAAGGGTAGATGACCACGCGAGAACCCTGTTAGGTTTTGTATGTGTCGTATGGTGCTAATGGTGGCAGAAGATGTAACCATAAAGCTACTCTTTGAGGCATTGACGAGTTTACCTACAGCCCGCTCGTAGCTCGAGATGATAGTCATGAGTCCCTTGATGAATGTTTCACACCTATTAAGAAAAAGTATCGCATCATCAGCAAACAAAGAATGCAATATGATTGGGCAACCCCTCTTCGAGTGATATGGTTGGATAAGCCCACATGTCACCACTCGGGAAGGGGTTCGACTAAGGACTTCTTCAACCAATATGAAGAGAGTGAGTGATAGGAGATCACCTTGTCGTAACCCTCTCGTGACTGTGAAGAAAGGTGTGGAAGTGTTGTTCACCAATAGAGAGAAATGGTTCTCCCTAATGCATGCATCAACCAGGTCAATGAACTCATCGGTGAATCCGAAGCGTCGAAGCACTTCGGTAAGAAAATTCCACTCGATCTTATCAAAAGCCTTTTCCATGTCTAATTTGATGATGACATTAGAACCACAGATGTCCTGGTCAAGGGATTGTGCTAATTCATGAACTAACATGATGTTATTATGAATGTGCCATCCCTTAACAAATTTGTACTGCTCTGGAGATATGAGCCTATCAAGAAAAATACTCAGTCGTGCTATAATGATCTTAGATACAACTTTATAGCACACATTACAAAGATTGATGGGCTTAAAATTTCTAAAAGAAGTTGGGTTGACCACCTTTGGTATGAGTGCAATAAAGGTGGCTTTCCAACTTCATGAGAAGACTTTGTGGTGGAAGAATTCTTTGATGGCATGAACTAAATCGGTTCCGACGATGTCCCAACATGTTGAATAGAAATCCGCTGGAAAACCATCAGGCCTAGGTGCTCGGTTTCTACTCATTGAGAAGATCACATCTTTGATCTCCTCCCTAGTAGGTATGGTCATAATGGATGAGATCTCCTGGTGGGTAATTAAGAATGGAATCGATGAGAGTATATCCTCCGAGATCTCAATCGGCTGGGAAGAAAGAAGGGTACAAAGGTATGCAATTCCTACCTCTTGCATACGAGATGTGTCCTGATCATACATCTCTAGAAGAGATATATAATCAGAGTGAGATCGGTGTGCGATCGAGGCATGAAAGAAACGTGTGTTCCTATCACCCTCGCGTAGCCACTAGATGTGCGATTTTTGGAGATAATATATCTCCTGTCGTCGTGCAGCCTCTTCTAATTGCTCACTCACTCGAACTCGTCTGGCCCAAGTGTCGTTAGTCCATCGAGCCTGCAGTTGTCTCTCGACCCCAGCTAGCTCTTTCTTCAACTCTTTTACCTGGGTGTGGATATTCTCGTATACATGCCAGTTCCACCATTTAAGGTGAAGTTTGAGATTCCTTAATTTGTAACTGAGGTTCTCTATAGGAAAGTTTGAGATATCTCCATGCCAATGACTCCGCACGAAGCTTTGGAAGCCTTCGTGTCGAGTCCACATATTCTGAAACCTAAAAAGAGGTCTAGGGGTACTAGCTCTCGAGTCAGGGAGAATAAGAATCGGCGTGTGATCTGACCTATAGTGAGGTAGGAGTGTGACTAATATGAGACATTGCACTATTGCAATGTTATTAGTGAAGCAACGATCAATGCGCTCATATATCCTTGCGCCTCCTTGTCTCTCGTTGCACCACGTCCAGACCTCACCAAAAGTAAGAGGTTCAATAAGGGCCGCGCGAAAAATAAAATCATTGAACATTTCCATGTGATGGGCTCGAGGGACCTGTCTCCCTTGACGTTCAGTGATTCTACATACACAGTTGAAATCTTCGACTACGAACCAAGGAGAATCAACTAGTATAGGATAATCCTGCATATATCGTACTAGGTCTTCCCAAAGAGTCTCACAATCTTGGTGTCTATGTGAAACATAAACGATTGAGAATATAAGCTCTTGGCGAAAGCCTAATACCCTCATCGTAACATGTTGTGGTCCCTCAACTAATAGTTGTATAGAATATGATCTCTTCCAGAACAACCAAATGTGGTTCATAGGGTTATAATAAAAGTGATCCATGCTTATGCGTCTAAGTAATGGGTGAATGTGATCTGATGATATCATAGGTTCAATAAGCCCGATGAGGCCTAGTCAGTGCTTATTGATGAGTTCAATAATGTGGGACTGTGTTTCGAGGTTGCCCAATCTTTGACAGTTCCAAATAAGGCTAGGTATCATAAGTAGTGGTGGCTATTGCCACGAGCCCTAGATTTTGTGACATATGGAGAGCATCGTCGTGAAGTCCTATCTACCATCTTTTTCTAGTATCCTCTTTGAAGGTCAATGCCCTCAATGGGAAGATCTAATGAGGACTCAGATCTAGAGTCCTCAGCACTTGATGTAGAGCGCCTGCTAGTGTCTTCCACTAAAGAGGAAAGAGAGATTACTCGACGATTTGTCAAGCATTCTCTCCCGCTAGGGCTCTCACGCTCCCTTGAGCTCTCTAAGGGTGTGCTCAATGGTGGATCCGAAGGTTGAGGTAGTAGGGAGGAAGAAAGAGAAAGAGAAGGAGGATCGAATAGGGATGTACCTAGTGGGCTCCTATTGGAGACCCTATTGGGTGATAGAGGGGGGTGGGAGGGTGGGTGAGGTGTGGTGTGGGAGGGGGAAGACCTAGGTGATGGGGAGCTAATAGGTAATGGAAGATGTGTGAGTGTAGAGGGTCTAACGGATGAAGGGGAGCTAGTTGGTGATAGAGAGGTAGTAAGAGCTAAAGGCCTGACAAGTGGAGAGGAACAGATTAAAGGTGAAGTAGTAGTAGGCCCCCCATGTTTGGGGGAGTGTCGTCGAACTCGTGGGCTGATACTGTTCCCTATGATGGGAACATTGTCCGCCTCCTCAATCAAGGTACTTAGAGCCTCAAAAACATTCGATGTCTCGACTGTCTTCCCCTTACCTATTGGTATGGGGGGAGTTGGGCCTACTACCATCTTCCTTCCCTTTTGGGTGGATGTGGATGCTTGGGAGATAAGATGTGATACCGATGTAGGTGGGGTTATTCTCCTAGGACCGGCTGGAGGGACACTAATCTAGACCGGTAGTGGTCGAGAGGGAGCACACGAGCTCTATATGGGAGGGTGGCTAGGTGTAGTCTTCCCTGCCTTAGTGATATAATCATCATATGACATAGGTGATAAATAAATCGCAGTAGACTCTAAAGATGACAAGGTGGTCTTATGTCGACAAGTGTGGATAGTGTGTCCAAACACTATGCAATGGATACAAAAATGAGGTAGTCTCTCATATATAACTGTTTAATAGATCTTCTCATCCCCATTCTGCACAATGATCATGCGTTGAAGTGGGGCCAAGAGGTCTATCTCTACACATACTCGTGCATAACTTGGGCGGTTAAACATTTTAACGTGTGGATCTAGGCCTATAAATGTACCGACGACATTCACCAAAGACTCAAGTGCCTTAGGCGTGAATAAATGTGCTGGTAGACTAGGAAAACTTATCCAAATTGGGATGGAGTGCGGTTGTTTTCCTCAAGAAAGACCGTCTGTTTATGGGGTCCATCTATATGTATGCATAATGGTATCTTGAATCTCCCATGTGGTCCTACTCTAAGCTTTCTGATAGTCAGCCTCGAGCTCAAAATGGATAAAGACGCTCCGATAATCACGGGCACCGATGACTACCTTACCTTGATAATGTCCTAGGGCCAAATAGATCCTATAAATATCATCTAGGTGGGGACGTTTCATAGAGAAGTGCCCTATCAATGAAAATTGGAAGGCCTCTGCCAGTTGGGAGACCTACTTCGAAGAAAATGAGATTGTTCTCATTCCCCCTTCATCAGTGTAACCCCGTGACGGTATTCCATCAGCATAAGTGGGGTGTAACTCGCGTCTCGGTGTATTTTCCATTGTAGGAGTGGGCTGTTGTCCTACTAGTCGTTGGGCCCAAGACTTGGCTTGGGCCTAGGTGGGCTGGGTTAGCTTGGCGTGGGCTTGAGCAGCTCTGGTTTCAGCGGTTTGGGCCAGTAGGTCTGGGGCCTGAGTGGGCTGTGCTTGGGTGTGCTGGGCCAGCTCGGTCTGGGCCTAAGAGGCCTGGACCTGAGCGGTCCGGGCCTGAGCAGCCTGGGCCGTTGGGTCCTGGGTCGGTGGGGCCTGGGCCGGTTTAGTCTGGGCCGGTGGCTGGATCCTAGAAGCTTTGGCCTTCAGACCCTTGGGCTGTGCGGTCTTGTCCGGCACGACCGTGCTCTGCGCAACCTCGGCCGGCTGGGCCTGAGACTGAGCCGCCACGGCCAGCGTGGCTTCGGCTACTGGGGCCTGCTCCGGCTCAGCCCTGATCTGGGCCAGGACGCCGTGAGCCGGCGCGGTCTGGCCTCCGGTTGTCTAGGTTGCTGCGCCCGCCCTTTCTTACGTAGATGACGTCATGGGCGTCGCACACGAGAGAACGACGCCCGCAAAAAGTTGCGGCATCGAATCCGTTCCGTTGATTTCAATTTCAACGGACGGATTTAAGCTCCCGTTGGTGCCCTCCGTGTCAGCTCTCGCTGACGCAAGCACGGACACCGTAACCGAGGAAACGGCGTCAGCCGCTTGCGGCACCTTTTCCTCTAGTGAATCTAGTCCGGTGATCTGTAGATCAACAGTTGAAATAGCAGCGCCGGCTGGCATCGACGCGATCTCTGGGACCGGGGGATCTCCAGCCGACGGAAAATCCTGACTGTCCGTCATTCGACCGTTCAGGCGATCGACGGTTCTGATTTTCGGACCATTGCCAGGCCCAAAGCATGCTTCTTCCCTCAGTTTCTCATCGGCCGAACATTGGTCCGCCGATGAAAACGATGATTTACTCATCAACGAAGCATCAAAATAAAATGATCAAGAAGGAAAAGCTGTAAATCAAGAAAATACGATTCTACTGATATAAGGATATAATATTTCAGCCAAGTAAATCAGTAGATATTACCCCGAGAATATAACGTTCTGAAAAATACCTCTCGAGGGAGAAATCGCGAGACCGAGAGCATCAGTCAACCATTTTCCACGTGTGACGGCTCGACGATGATGCTTTCCGACCTTGCGAATCGAATGAAACAAGTTTCAGCGGGATCTGAGGTCAGATGGGAGAGATCTCGCTGTTTGAATGTGACGTTGATGAGAGAGAAGCTCTCGCGAGGAGAGAGAAAAAAGTTGAGCAAATGTGACTGGTTTAGGGTTTTTTTTTTTTTTTTCGATAATTGTCTTGGGCTGAACTTCTCAAGAGGTCACCCATCCTGATACTTCACACGCCTAATCACTTTGGTGCCTCTCAGGCACATTCTTTGGAGATAGATGCCACTTGTGCCTCTCGACATCGTGGCAGGGGTGACTCTCAGCACGTTCTTTGGAGCTAGGGGCATCTTGGCATGGTGAGATGAATGCCATATATATGCCTCTCGGCATAGTAAGATGAATACTACATATGACTCTCGGCATAGTGAGATGAATACCACATATGCCTCTCGGCATGGTTGCAAGATGGCCTCTCAGCACATTCTTCAAAGCTGGAAGCATTTTGGCATGGTGAGATAGATGCCACATATACCTTTTGGCATAATGGCAAGGGTGCCTCTCGGCACATGCTTCGATGCTCAAGACATCTTGACATGGTGACAGAGGGGTTCATAACACGTGCTGGGCAGCACAATCATACATCAGTGCCTTTCAGCACATGCAAAGCAAGCGCCTCACAACGCATGCACACATAATCGGGGACTTCCTAGAGAGGTCACCAATCTAGAGACTGCTCCCACCCGAGCACGCTCAACTTCAGGTTTAGGGTTTAGGGTTTAGGGTTTAGGGTTTAGGGTTTAGGGTTTAGGGTTTAGGGGTTTAGGGTTTAGGGTTTAGGGTTTAGGGTTTAGGGTTTAGGGTTTAGGGTTTAGGGTTTAGGGTTTAGGGTTTAGGGTTTAGGGTTTAGGGTTTAGGGTTTAGGGTTTAGGGTTTAGGGTTTAGGGTTTAGGGTTTAGGGTTTTTTTTTTTTTTTTTTTTTTTTTTTTTTTTTTGACTCCATGACGTTCATCATATTTGAGGAAGGTGATTGATTTGCAGTGGGTTGAAAAAGCCTTTGAGTTTATGAAAGTTGGAAGATCTGCTCAACAGGAGTAGGACGAGAGCTCCATGTTGTGCGCCATGCAATGTTCCTGCAAGACAAGAGTTTGCTGCAGTAAGTGGTTCTAAGAGATAAATACATTGATATAAAGTGGTGAGAAAAGAGTGATTAGGGCAGTGAGGAGGATAGAACTATGCTGAAGCATGACAATAAGCCCAAATATGAACTTGCCTTGCTAGTGTTGCACGCGCCTAATCCCTCTGGCCAAGATCTTGTTAGTATCATCAGTTGCCGTACTTCCTCTAAGTAGGTAAAGGACCTTTCACCCCACGAGGAATGACTTGGTCTCTGGTTCTAACTCTTTTCTTTTCTCTTATTCTCTCTCTCTTCTTTCTCTCTCCTTGAGGGCCTCTTCTTTTACCCTCCACTAATGCCCATTATTTGGTGTACATTAGGCTAGTGATTAAGGGAAGGGAAAAAGGTTGCCCTTTTTTTTTTTTTTTTTTTTTTGGTTTTAGGGCCCTTTCCCTCACCCTCCACTAATTGTCTATGATGGGCTAGTGATTCCGGGAAAAGAAGTAGGCTGTCTTTTTTTTTTTTTTTTTTTTTTTTTCCTAGAGAGAGAAAGGGAGGGAGAAAGAAATAGAGAATCGAGAGAGAGAGAGAGGAGAGAGGGTCAATCCTATGGATATAGATCTTTACCTTCTCATGGGTTCAAGCTGGCTGATGATACTAATAAGATCTTGAGAGAGGTGCTAGGTTGCCGATTCACAACTAGTTAGCAGGTCTGATGTGCTATAGACCTATAGTTCAAAAGTGGGCCGATGCCAACATATGCTGATAGTTCTATGTCCTCACTACTTGAGCATGATAGATAGTAGATGTGATGTGATTATGAGGAGAGTAATGATTGGAAGTAATGTACCCGAGTGGATTACGATGTGCCTTGTTGTCCGTGTTGTGCTGTATCTCCATTGTGGTCTTCAGCGGCCAATAGTAACCACCCCTGATCTCCTCCAAGCAATACGCCACTGTCGTGGAGAGGCCGGTAGTGGAGTGCGGTGTATGCGTAAAGAGGGTATGCCGAGTCGCTCAAGTCTATGAGCACCTCGGGCTTCTAGGGGCATGTCCTGCCAAAAAGAGAAGACTGTCCTCCGACGCGATCTGACTCCATGCGCAGCAAGGGCGTCAGCTGTCTGATTCCCTTCTCGGAATTGATGCGTAATAGTTGTGATGCGTCCTCGACATCGCATGATGTCTGCCCAGATATTCTTGAGCCTCCAATGAGGACAAGAGTCTGCACGTAACATGTCCACTAACACTTTGAAATCAGATTCTAAGACAATGTTAGTAATATTTTGCTCCTCACAAAGAAACAAACCATCCCGTATTGCCATAGCCTCTGCCACAGTATTAGTTTGTATATTATAAAAGTTCGAAAAGGCAAAGAGAATGCATCCTGTACTATCGCGTAAGATACCTCCTCCTCCAGACGGTCCTGGGTTGCCTTGAGATGCTCCGTCGACGTTGAGTTTCCACCGTCCAGCCCTCGGTGGTGTCCATCTAACAGATCGGATAATAGTCCAGGTCTGTGTAGGTATGATATGGAGTCCCCAAAGCCCAAAAGCCTCACAAACAGAACGCGAGCGTTTCGTTTTGTTTGGCACTAAGGAATGAGTACTCCGAAGCCATTGTGTCACGTGCCTCATAATCTCTGTGGCACGCATCACTTGGCCTGCAAATCGAGATGAGTTACGTCCCTTCCATATTTCCCATAACATATATGCTATGGAGATACGGATGAAAGGACAAACATTGACACTCGTCGGTGAGTCAAAGACTCTCCTAAAGACCTCTAGTGGTGGTCTCGTAGGTCTGTACGAGAGCATTGGAAGCCAATTCGCTAGAAGTTGACGCCAACACTCGACAGCGATATCACTATGGAAAAATAAATGTTCCATACTTTCGTCTGTCGTGATGGAGCAACAATGACATTTCCTTTCCACCTCCTGATCGGTGACAATCACTCGATCGTCGGTGGGTAGTCCTCGGTGCATGAACTTCCACAAGAAGAACGAAACACGAGGTGTGATGGCCGGATGCCATATGAGATTTCCCCAAAATGTCTTTGGGGAGCGGTTTCTAAAGTGCTCCCAAGAGGAGCTACAAGAGAAACTACCATCTATGGTAAGTGTCCAGATGGGTTGGTCCTCAATAAAACTCATCTCAGTCATGGTGATGGCTGGTAACAAGTCCGACGGTAGTCCATGCCTCTCAATAAGTAGACGAGTGTCTCCTTGGAGAAGCTGGGCTACCGTCAAGCGAGGCCAAGAAGATGTGAAAGTGGTAAAACAGGCCAATGGTATGTCATCTAGCCAAGTGTCGTACCAGGCACTGATCTCGCCTCTCCCCACTCGCCAACGAATAAGAGGCATCATCTCTAACCAATGTCGCTGCCAGTCTGCCCATCGTTTGACTCCTTTGATGTCGGCCGGCTGTCGAGCCCACTCACCATATTTGGCTGTCACAAAAGTACCTAGCACCGATGGTGTGGTCCTCATCCTCCAAACGAGTTTCTTTTGAAGCATGTTAAGTACATCTTGAGGGCGCCTAATACCTAGGCCACCCTCATCCGTAGGTCGACATGCTTTCTCCCAAGAAACTCGGCGTTGACGACGAGGTCCCTCAAGTTGTCCATCCCAAAGGAAGGACGTACATATCCGTCTAATAGTCTGTAAGACGGTGTCTGGTACCTCATGGACTGCCAAAAGGTGTAATGGCATACTCATGAGGACATGACGTATCAACTGGATCCGTCCTCTAGGGGATAGAAGTTGTAACTTCCATCCTGCTAGTTTCTTCCTCAACTTGCCCACTAGGGCGTCAAAATAGTGTATGCGCCTACGGCCGAGGAAGATAGGACATCCTAGATAGTCAAAAGGTAAGTGTCCACGAGAGAACCCTGTTAGGCCCTGGATACGTCGTATGGTCCCTATGGGGGTAGAAGGGCCTACTATGAAGCTACTCTTCGAGGCATTTACGAGTTGACCTGTAGCTCGCTCATACCTCGAGATAATACTCATGAGCCCTCTAATGGATGTCTCACATCCATTGAGGAAGAGTATCGCATCATCAGCAAAGAGGGAGTGTGAGATGATCGGGCAACCCCTCTTCGAGTAGTATGGTCGGATAAGTCCTTGATTGATCGCTCGGGTGAGGGATCGACTGAGGACTTCTTCAACTAAGATGAAGAGGGTGGGTGATAGTGGATCGCCCTGTCGTAGACCTCTCGTGGCCGTGAAGAATGGTGTGGAGCTACCGTTCACTAATAAAGAGAAGTGATTCTCCCTAACACATGCATCGACTAAGTCAATGAAGTCATCGGTGAACCCAAAGCGTCTAAGAACCTTAATGAGGAAACTCCACTCTATCCTATCAAAGGCCTTCTCCATGTCTAATTTGATGATGATGTTAGAGCCTCGACAATCATGGCCAAGGGACTGTGCTAGTTCATGTACTAGCATGATGTTATCGTGAATGTACCGTCCCTTGACAAATCCGCATTGTTCTGGAGATATAAGTCTATCAAGGAAACTACTCAATCTACGTGTAACGATCTTAGATACAACTTTATAACACACGTTACACAAACTGATAGGTCGAAAGTCTCTAAATGAGGTTGGGGTAGTCACCTTCGGTATAAGTGCAAGGAAGGTGGCCTTCCAACTTCGTGTAAAGAGTTTACGACGAAAGATTTCCTTGATGGCCTAGATGAGATCAGTGCCAACAATATCCCAACATGAAATGTAAAAATCAACTGGGAAACCATCTGGCCCGGGTGCACGATGTCTACTCATAGAAAAAACTACTTCCTTGATCTCTTCTCCCGTGGGTATGGCTGTTATGAGAGAATTCTCACGGTGAGTGACCAATGACGGGATCGAAGTGAGCATATCATCAGAAATCTCAATCGACTGAGAGGTTAAGAGAGTACGAAAGTACTCAACCCCTGCCTCCTGCATGCGGGAAAGGTTATGATCATATGTCTCTAAAAGAGAGGTATAATCTGAACGTGAGCGATGAGCGACCGAGGCATGAAAGAAACGAGTGTTTCTATCACCCTCTTGTAACCACTTGATGCGTGATTTCTGGAGATAGAATAACTCCTGTCGTCGCACAACCTCATCAAGCTGGTCACTCACTCTACTCCTCCTTTCCCAAGCAGCATCTGAATATCTAGCTTGCAGTAGTCTTTCAACTTCTGCTAACTCTTTTTGCAATGCATCAACTTGGGTATGGACATTCCCGTAGATATGTCGGTTCCACCATTTAAGGTGGAGTTTGAGATTCCTTAACCTATAGCTAAGGTTCTCCATAGGAGAATCTGAGATCTGTCCGTACCAGTGATTCCGTACGAAACTCTGAAAGTTTTCATGTTGGAGCCACATGGTTTGAAATCTGAAGGGGGGTCTGTGGGTGCTCATACTCTGTTTAGGGAGTATGAGGATCGGGGTGTGATCTGACCTATAACGGGGTAATATCGTGACTAATATGGGATGTCGCATCATGGCGATGCTGTTGATGAAACAACGATCGATACGCTCATAAATCAAAGCGTCCCCTCGATTGTTGCTCCACGTCCATGCCTCGCCTGATGTAGGTGGCTCAATGAGAGCTAATCGAAAAATACAATCATTGAACATCTCCATATTACGGGCCCTAGGGATTCGCCCACCTTGACGTTCACTAGTATTACGGACACAGTTGAAGTCACCTGCTAGGTACCAAGGAGACTCAACTAGTGTAGGGTAATCCCTCACGTATTGAACTAGGTCCGCCCAAAGAGTTTCTCTTTCTTCGGATCTATGTGATGCATAGATGACCGAGAAGGTGAACTCTTGGGTGAGATCTCGAGCCGTCATAGTGATATGCTGGGGTCCCTCGACTAGCAACTCCATAGAGTATGGTCTAGTCCAAAAGATCCAAATATGATTCGTGGGGTTGGAGTGAAAATGATCCATACCTAACCTCCTAAGTAAGGGTTGGATACGATCTGGTGATATCATAGGCTCAATGAGGCCTACTATACCTAGTCGATACTGTCTGATAAGGCTAGCGATATAGAATTGGGTTTCGAGGTTGCCTATACCTCGACAATTCCATATGATGCTAGGTATCATGATCTAGTGAGTGGCCCCACGAGTTTTAGATCTCGTGGAGTAAGGTGAGCGTCTAGTGAGTCGTGTGGTCCTAACCTCCGTCTGATATCCCTCCTCTAGGTAGGTAGTCTCAATGTCAGTCTCAGAGCTACCATCCTCATGGGTACTAGTCGTGTGGCCCGTAGTATCATGAGCACTAGATGAGGAGGATGGGTGTGGTGCTTGACGATTCGTTAAGCACTGTCCTCTATCGGGGCTCTCCCTAGAATCAACGGGTGGTGGATCAAGTATAGGAAACTGATCTGACGGTTGTAATAGGGGAGAGGGGGGGAGGGTATAAGAATCAGAATGGGGGGCTACGTAAGATGTACTAATAGGAAGTATGCTGGGGGTAGACCCTCCTAATAGATCATCAACAGGGATTTGAGGGGGATGGATAGGGCCCAAGCCTATACCCTCAAAGAAAGGGGTAGACCTCGGTCGGTGGGGACTAAGAGGTGAAGGACTCCTACTACGTGGGGACGAGTGAATGGGCGGGGAGGAGTTGGGTGGTGGAGAGACACTAATGGGTGGAGTGGGGTGGGTGAGTATGGGGGGTCGGATAACCCGGGGGGATCTAGTATGGGGGGTTGGACTAGGTGAGTCCCTCGTAGTGGAGGA